AATTTAGTTGCTTTAAAAAACTATTTCCCCTAAAAATAGTTATCTCAGCAGAACAATTTAAGGAGAAAAGTATCCTTAAAATGAAAATGTAATCTACTTTACAACCTATACAGTATTAAGTATTTCAGAAACAAAGTAAAAAGGAAAACATGTGCAAACCAGTAAGAAACACCCACACATAAAAATAATATATGAGAAATTAAATATTAACAAAAATGTTTAATTTTACCGCTAATGATCTCAGCTTCAGTGACATATTTAAAGAAAGCTGTCAGCCAAAAATACAAGAATGTCTATGTAAGTGCATTTTTTCAACACATCAGCTGAAGCCTACATGTTGACAGCAAGTACCTCAGAAGCACTAATGAGGACTTGCACAATAGACTTGTTTTCCAAGTGGTGTGTTTTTGGGGGAAAGGAGATATGGTAAGTCAATAGCAGTAAAGGAAGTAATTTACCTTCAAAGAGAGGGGGATGTCAACTGGAAAAGGCCAGTGATTTCACTATCTGTATTGAAGAACTGTAATCCGAAGTTATCTACATGTTGTATTACATGTAGAACTGTTCTATCTTTTGTCACAATTCTGTATCAATTTAGCTACAAGTAGCAGACAGGGAGCACAGTTTTATATCTTCAAAATGAATTCTTCCATATGATTAGCTCATTAGAAAAACCCTAAAAATTCAAATTGTCTGCATTCAGAATCGTTATATCTTAAAATTAAAATTTTTCATTCAAACTTGAGAAAGTTTTACCTCAACATTTATCTCATATACCATTAAACTGGCAGCTGAACAACAGTAATTCCTATGATGAATGTTCTTAACATTATGACAAAATTCTAATATTGAAATTATTTTAGAAATGATCCTTAAAATGTAGATGTAGAATAGGATTTCAAAGAATTGATATAGTCTTTAACATCCCAGATAAGTTTCTAAATAAGTAAAGTTTTCTCTTGGTATGCAGACTCATTTTCAAATTAGAAACAGACTTCTGGTTCCATATCTGTTAAAAAGATATTCATAATTTTAAATTTATAAATGATATATGAAATGGTTATGCAATTTTAAGTATTTTATCTGTAATATGTAAGCTTAAAAGTCAGCCTAATTAATATATAAAACTTATTCCAATTTTTTTGTAAGATGATCTCTAGTCTTTAAATTCATGTTGTTCATCTGAGTGAAAATGGTTTTCAAAAAAAAGAGACAGAGGTAAAAGCTATTGTTTCCTTAGGCTACTACTTTCTTAAATATTGGATCCATGTTTTTCTCGCTATCCCTTAAATCAAAACTATTTTACAGTAGTCAAGATTGAATTCAAGAGTTATCAGGGAAAGGAAAAAAATAGAAAACAAAATAAAGACTTAACTATAAGACAATTAAACTAAATTAAAAAAATAAATCCTATATATCCAAATTATACTGTATACTTCCAAGTAGTGACATCAGGAAATGATTCCTTTATTATATGATGCTGCCTATGTTCAAAACACTCTCTTCTGCAAATTTCAGAACCTGTGGTACATTCTTTTGAACTTTCACGGTTTAGTTCTAAGAAAACAGCGAAGCAGAGCTGGTTTGGTGAATGAGATAGTCATATTAAGTTGCCACAAAAAGAGGTTTTGGTGCAGCTAAAATAATGAGACAGATTATCTTGCATAGTCACACACTGATTCTCCAGGCTTCTTTTCGGGCATTCCGAAAACTACGCCTTTGCAGCTTAGCTGGAATAAGTAGTGCTCCAAAAGGAACCACCCTGAAGAACAACTCTCATTTGGATGTTTAAGGAATAACATATTTTTTTAAAAGCAAGTCCTACAATTTAGCAATTGCATCTCACATATTTTACCATTTCAGTGGTTATCAAAACCTCTCTCAGAGAGGGGTAGATAAAGGTATAAAAGAAATCTGTCATTGTGCTATTTTCCTGTAAGTAAGGAAAATGCTAATACATAAAATGGAGTCTGATGATTACATGTAAAATATAAATATCCATATCATCTGTACTTCCTGAATAAAAGCGATTGTAGTGCTTTATCTCTGCTGATAAAACAGGCAGTAACTCAGTTTGTGATATGTTATACACATGTCATCTCCTATCAAATACATTTTATGCTGATCATTTAGAATTTACAGATGACAAAGGTAAAAAGCAATAGCAATCTAAAATCTTTCAAGTTAAGGTAAACTGATTTCCAAAGCTTCTACGTGCTAACTAACAAAATGTTTACTGTTTCAGTGCAGTTTAATACAATGGGTTTTTATGGGAAACAGAATAATCAAGTCAGCAAATGAAAGCCAGTAGCACCATCTACTGCTAACTACAAGATTTTCACACTTTGCAATTAAGTTCTCTCCAACGCCAGCACTCCATCATTTAAAATAATTCCTAAAACTTGCTTGATATCAATATTTAACCAAAGCATTGTGAAAATAATACTATGTAAATTTACTATTTTATATTTTACACTTTTATCAGAAGATCGGTAAACCAACTTCTGTTCTACCTTTCCATATAAAGAACAGGGGGGAAATCTTTACCTTGGTTATTTATAAATTTAATAAAGAGATCTGGAAAGAATTCAATAGACATTTAAAACAAGTTCTGCTGCAAAGCCAAGATGTGATCCTTATTTTATAAAGGGCTCATGGGGACTAACCGAATCAAACAATTTTTTATTAAATTAGTTATTTTTCACATGCTCTGGTGAATGTTTCCCTACTCATAGCCATGTAACACCATGCACAATGCCAGGCCTCTGGGAGAACCTCTCTACGTTGTTACCATATATACACATACATAACTCCTTATTTCCAATAACTGTTTACAGGAATACTCAGAGGCAGGCACAGTGACGACAAACTCTTATATACATACAGTGGGAAAGTAGTTCCTACTACTGAACATTCATTGATGGAAACATTTTTCCATTTACAGTATATTACTGTATCAGGCTTAAAAGAGAAAGAACAATTTTTCACTATACTCTCTACATTTGGCTATTGCAACCTCTTTGTAACTAGGTTGACATGAAGACAAATGCAGTATGGAAGACTACTTGAGTAATTATGTGCTTCATTTTCCCAAATAGATAGAACCCAAAATCAGTTGATGCCGAATCTTACTTCTGAATCTACCCATAATGACTGCTAAAAGATCTGGATATTAAAAGATTTATTTTAAGAATATCAGCTAGTTCTCACTGTAATTTATAACTAAGCATTACCAAGGGATGTCGAATATATCTCTGCCAGGCTCTCCTGATATTTCTATGGTTGGTACTTGAAAATGATGGCTATAAGTGAAATGGAGAAAAAGGCAGTTCCTAGTGATCGTAATTATAATGTAATTAAACTGTATCACTGCTCTACTTGTTAAGAGCAAAACCTTACTGATTTCATTTTAGATTCTAAATATTTTTAGTTTATTAAATTTCAGAGCAAGATTTCTATTCTACAAGGAAAAGGGTATATATTTCTAATTTTAAAAAAAAGTATATATTTCAAACTGAAGGAACAGATTTACTGGAAATGAAAAAATTAAAACAAGTCTAAAAAGAATATATCTCAAGAATAAAAATGAAGTGAAAATTGAAAATGTTAATATTTTAAAAATCAATTTTCAGAACTTATGGGAATAATTCATTAAAAAGTCAAAGAAACTAAAATGTAGAAGTTAGTAATCTCTGACTTAGCAGTTTCATTGTTTAATATCACTGCAAAGTAAAATATTTCCTTTCACAGTGGAAAATCAGATGTCAGAATGCTTCAAATTGAGCCTATAATAAGCAAAGAATGTACTATTATCATTTAAAATGACAGGCAAACACCAGCTCCATTCACTGAATGGAAGTGCTGGAAAGTGGTCAATGTTTCCAAATAGTTCTTTATTCCTTATTTAATTTCTATACCTAAAATTAATAATTTACTTTTAACTTCTCTATGGAAGTTGATTCCTAAAAAGAAGTCTCTAAGACTCTGCTTACAAGAAATTGATTAAAATCTTCATGCCATTCTATTCAAGGATTTTAAGACAGGACCTTCTTGAACTTGACTCTTCATAGTTAATTCCATCTTTAACTCCTTACATAAGCTAATCCCCCCACAACAGAACACACACTCCTATCACCGCTTCTTCAAAGTAGAAAGAGATTCTGCAGACTTATGGCTCATTTGGCAATTGCTAAGAAACCTCACAGTTCAGCATCACCCATGAAAATGGCAAACCTGTGCATAAACCTGAAGTCACACCTACAATGCAGTTAACATGTAGAAAGAAGCCAAAATGCAATAGATATTGCATTTCAACATCCTCAAGTTTCAATATCACAGATATAAGAGATGGAAAAAGACCTGCTTGTGGACCTTTAAGCATCTGTTGAACAGAATTACCATCAATATGAAAAATAATTAAGAAATACTAATTTTTATGCTCTACATGCACACCTTTACAAATTGTGTTTCTTTGATGTAGTAAAAGCTAGAGATCATCAATTCAGGTAAACTATGGCTTTTATCATAGATATTTTAAAACATGCATCAGTAAGTGCTCTGGGTAATAATCCTAATATTGTTTCAAGCCCTGTTTGGTTCTATGTGCTTTGCACCTCAGAAGTGAGCTGCCAAGGCACTTAAAATGTAAGTCTTTTGGGGACTTAAAAAATCAGCCACAATTTACACAACGTAGAATCCCATCCATGAGCAGCCCAATCAATAAGCATTCTTTTTCAACCTACAACATTATAAAAAATTCTACAAGTAACCAAGTTGAAAAAAAAAATGCCATTAAGACAAAATTTACGCCTATCAAATGTACAGAGTATGGTTGTTGGCTTCCTATAGCAATAGAATATGGTTTCATTTATTCAGAAGAAAAAAGAATCCAAATAAGTCCCCCAAACCCAAGACACAACCGAGACAAAAATAAAATAAAATGAAATCCAAATACACTCCACACAACTTCAAGAGGATCAATTTGCACAGTTCTGTATCCCTTATCTGTCCTTTGAGGTGAGTTTTTCAATCAGTTCTTGGAGTGGTGCAAGTTCTCTTCTATCAACCAGGTTGAATTCCTATGCATGACAAAGAAAGGCAGAAGAAATAACAAAGACTTATTATTTACATTTCACTCCAAAACAGATTTCCATTAACATTTATTAGAAATTAGCTTTTAAAGTAAATAAAAGTCAAATCTCTTGTTTTAAGTTTCTATTCCCTCACTGTCTTAGACAAATCACTTAACCACTTCTGATATTGCTTTACATATGTACTAATAAGATAAATCCTCCTACCTCATAAAATTATTGTGGAGTCTAAATGTGATACTGTAAATTAACCACTTCAAGTAATTCTTGGCCCAAGATAAACACTCAATAACTGGGAATTGCTGCTCCTTGTTAAAAGGAATAACCTGAGCACCATTTAGATATAGTCAACCAAGTTGAGACCAAAATAGCTACTATCTCAGGCAAATTTCAGACCAAAATAACTAGTTTGTTATAAACTAACTTATTTATAAGCTATCATGAGATGTGTCATTCTAAAGTAAAACTCAGAATAGATATCCCTGAACTATAATAAATAGAAGCTGTCATACTTCCAGTATTCTGCCATGGTGATGCATTCTACACTCCTAATTTCATTCATTTTTTTTTTCATTGATTTATTAACATTTCATCACCTGCAAAGCACTGCAGAATGTACTGGGGAGAGTCATTAGGGGGCATTTAACTGCAAGCCTATCACTAGTAGTAAGATCTGTAGGGTCTGAACCAAGAACACAAATACACACACACATACAGATACTGCATGACTAATTAAATTTTACATTAGTCTAATATATTGATAAATAAAACATGTTCTGTTCTTCTACCTTGACAAAATATACCTTCATATTGACCAGGAGAGCAGATTCAAATTTAAAGTTCTCAAGACTCCTCAGAATTCTGCACTGGAAAGTAGAGCCAGCCCTTGACCCTCAGCAAACCTTGCTGATCTTCCCACCACCAGCTCCATCCTGCTCTTTCATGGAGCTGTCAGGGACACTCTGTCTGCTTATACAGGCAACCAGAGGCCCGGTGCACAAAATTCGTGCACAGGAGCGGGGGGCAGGGGGTCCCTCAGCCCAGCCTGCACTCTTTCCAATCTGGAACTCCTTGCATCCCTTTCACAATCCAGGACTGCTGGCTCCCAATCACTAGCCTGCCTGCCAGCCTAAATGCCCCTAACTGCTTCTGGCTGCCAGCCTAATCACCCCCTAACCACTCCCCTGCCAGCCTGATTGCGCCTAACTGCTCCCCTGACAGCCCAATTGCCCCTAACTGCCCTCCCCTGCCAGCCTAGTTCCCCCTAACTGACCACACCTGCCAGCCTGGTTGCCCTTAACTGTCCTCCCCTGCAGGCCTGGTCAACCTCATCTGCCCTCCCCTACTGGCCCATTCACCCCTAACTGCCCTCCCTTGCCAGCCTGGTTGCCCTTGACTGCCCTCCCCTGAAGGCCTTGGTTCCCCCCAACTGCCCTCCCCTGCAGGCCTGGTCCCCCCGCAACTGCCCTCCCCTGCAGGCCTGGTCACCCCAAACTGCCCTCCTCTGCCAGCCTGATTGCCCACAACTGCCCTCCCCTGCTGGCCATCTTGTGGCAGCCATCTTACATGCTGGAGTGACAGTCAATTTGCATATTTCTTTTATTATATAGGATGCCACACACCCTCATCAACAGCCATTAACTGGCTACCCCTTAGGTCTAGAGGTATACAAATCAGAGATAAGACCTTCCCTCAAAAGAACAGACCCAAGGAAAAGATCTATGCAAACCTTAGAAGTACTCTTGGGACTATCTGGACAGGAAATTCTGAGGTAGAAGCACACACCAGAAGGAATCTGGGTAGGTATGTTGTTTGTCCTGTGGATTCCTCACTCTATGGGAAGGAGTAAAACTGGAGAAGGGGCAGAGCAGGATTTTCTAAATTTTGAGGCCAAGGGCTTAGTACTCTCCTTCAAGGGCTGATACTGTATAATGGACCCACCTTTAAGCAGGTCCTAAGATGTAAACAAAAGATTCAGATGTAGTAAACATCATTAAGCTATACCCTATTATTTGCTAGGACTTGGGAGACACAGTATATTTTAAAATCATACAGTAAGGTAAAAATTAACTCTTCTGGTGGAGGAATATTCTTGCCTAAACTACTAAAACCTGAACTTTGGCAATCATGTCTGTCTAAACCAAAGCACAGATGCAAATTTTAGGATAACATGTTCTTTGGTTCTCTGGAAATCTGTAGATGGAATACCATAGTGAGGTAACTGCTCAAAGCTACTGTTTCGGCATGTTACTATCTCTTAGAAGTGTTTAGGTAAAACTGAGACACAAAATGGGTGCATTCAGTGTGAAGAGTGTGTATAAAGAGAAAACAGACACATTTTTCTTTAGTGGAGATGGATCATAGGGAAGGCATTTATAAGTATACATACCCAAAGGTATATAAAAACAACACCGATCAAAGCCTTAGGCGTCCCCTGCTTACCATGAACCCCTCTCAATCTCCACTAACGAAAAGCTGGTCAGCTTCTTTTCTATCTATTTTTCACTCCTAGCTGTTAGTTCTCCAATTGTTATAGCAAGGGTTGGACTATCTTCACTCCTCTTAATCTCATCTGTAAGTCTAGTTATCTGAGAACTAAAAAGATTAGGAAAAGAATGTCAACTAAGGAATCAGATCAAAGACTAATGGATCTTTTGGAATAGTAACACATATTTCCCCTCTTTGGACATAATGGACAGTACCTAACTTAAAAATTATTCAGAATATTTAAAAATAAAAAAGGGAGAAAAGGTGTGATATTCAAAACTCATTTCTAGGACAGAGGATGCTAAAAACGTTCCAAAGGCCAAAATCAGTTTGGCTCAATGGGTAGAGCCTTGGTCTGTGGACTGAAAAGTCCAGTTTCAATTCCGGTCAATGCATGTACATTGGTTGTGGGCACATCGCTGGTAGGGGGTGTGCAGGAGGCAGCTGGTCGATGTTTCTCTCTCATCAATGTTTCTCTCTCTCTCTCTCCCTCTCTCCTCCTCCTCTCTGTTAAAAAAAAAAAAAAAAAAAAAAAAAGTTCCAAAGTAGCCTGCATTTGAGGGTTAAGGGATGTTAAAAAGTTCAAGTGATCAAGTTCATCAATAGATCTGCCAAACTAGCCAGGTTCCTTATGCGACCCCTCCATATTAGCCCATTAACTGAAGCAAATCCAAGGAAGAATTCTCAGAGCCATTTATTTTATTTAGACTTGCATGACTTGCATGTGGCTGCTTAGAAATAAATGAAATTCAGAAACAAAAGACCAGTCCTTATCATCATGGCAAGTATAGAAGAGGAAGACTAGAGAAATAGGGCAAATTTTTATCCTATGAATGCAGTATTCACCTCAGAACTCTGTAGATAACTAATTTACTGAACAAAAACGTCCTCCTAATCCAACTTACCTGGACAAAAAAGATAAAGTGCTTAAAAGATGTATTCAGATGTGCTTCCTCCTGAAGCTGGATCACAGGGTCAAAATGCTGATGATAAATGTGAGCATAAACCCTGAAGAGGCGTTTGAGTATAGTTTTTGCCACAGACATGAAGTTCTTAGGGAATGGGACACCTAATAAATAAACAATCCAATTTATTAAAAAGGGATAGGAACAAGGCAATATGAGTTTAACAAATGCAAGGCAATTTATGTTGCCATTTAGAAGGATTTATGAATTACTACTTAATACACCTACAGTACTTTTCAGAAGTCTTCATCATATCATGAATAAAAATAAATTTCAAAGTTTCTATGGAACAAGAACTAATTTTCAGTATAGCCCTTTAGGCCTCCGACACTTCACTGAAATGAAACAAAATGGATGCCTAGGATGGTAATGGAGATAAAATTCATCTCCACTGAGATCCTCAAATTTTATAACATTATTTCTTTATACAAATACTAGAGGCCTGGTGCATGAAATTCATGCACTGGGGGGTGTCCCTCAGCCCAACCTGCACCCTCTCCAATCTGGAATCCCTCAGGGGATGTCCAACTGCTGATTTAGGCCCAACTAAACCGTCAGTCAGACATCCCTCTCACAATCCAGAGTGCTGGCTCCTAACCACTTGCCTCCCTGCCTGATTGCTCCTAATCACTTCTACTTGTCAACCTAATCACCCCCTAACTGCTCCCCTGCTGGCCTGATCACCCCCAACTGTCCTCCCCTGCCAGCCTGATAGCCCCTAATTGCCCTCCCCTACTGGCCTGATTGCCCCTAAATGCCCTCCCCTGCAGGACAGGTCCTGCCCAATTGCTCTCCCCTGCATGCCTTGTCACTCCATCTGCCCTCCCCTGACAGCCTGGTCATCTTCAACTGCCCTCCCCTGCCAGCCTGATCGCCCCCACTGCCATCTCCTGCCAACCTGGTCGCCCCCAACTGTCCTCCCCTGCCTGCCTGATCGCCCCAAAATGCCCTCCCCTACTGGCCATCTTGTGATGACATGGAGATGGCCATATTGTGACGACATGGGAGCGGCTATCTTGTGATGACATGAGGGCATCGAGCAAAAGCATGAGGGCCACCTAGGCTTTTATTAGTATAGATATGCTGGACACAAATATATTAATCATGTTTGTTTAAAATGCCTGCAATATCAGGCCCGGAGCAGCGGCTGCCAGGCTGGGAGCGGCCAGACCCGGAGCAGCGGCTGCCAGGCTGGGAGCGGCCAGGCCCGGAGCAGCAGCAGCCAAGTCCAGAGCAACTAGGTCGGGAGTGGCAGTGACCAGACCCGGAGCAGCTGGTTGTGGAATGAACCAGAGCAACAGAGGCCAGGCCCTGAGCAGCCAGGCCCAGAACAGCTCGCTCCTTGCCTGCCCCTGCCCCACGGCTGCTTCTCAGACATGGCTGGAAACTTTCGTGGGAACTTGAGGGTCTGCTGAATCAAGTGATGAAGGCTTAGATCTGGATGTGTTGAGTTAGTTTAGGACTGGGGTGTTGATCTGTGAGTGCCTTGGGTGGGGCCTGGATGAGACTGGTGGACCTATTGGGAAATGTCTTTTGTGTGAAGTGTATCATTGGGCATGTGGAGGTATTATTGATATGAGAAAATGCTAAGTAACTGAAAAAAAAAAAAAAATTAAAATGCCTGCAATATATTTTTAAAATATTCTCTATGGGAATTATTTCATTACTACTCCAGGTCTACATTTATCCTGAAAAATAACTGCAATCTCTGTATTTCACATACAACTATATATATATATATATATATATATATATATATATATATATATACACACACACACACACACATCACACACACACACTTTTGTCCCAACCTATATATACAGCAGATAAAAGATAAGGTGAGGGCACTTACCCAAAACCATTATGATATATATATAAAGCAGCCTCAAAAAATAGACCTTTAACTACAAATGCCCCAAAGTAGTAAAATCATTGAATGTGTTTAAAACAATCCATAATAATAACTATTTATATTACTGTCTGTCCTCCACCATACCAACTGTCCAAAAATTAAGACATAAAATATAGCCAAAAAGTTATTTATTGCTAGAATTTGCTAGAACAACAAATTCTTAATTTTTTCAGAAAACACAGTTGTAAGAAGTTTGAGAAGGTAAAATCCTGTGAACTGGACCGGTTTGGCTCAGTGGATAGAGCGTCGGCCTGGGGACTGAAAGGTCCCGGGTTCAATTCCAGTCAAGGGCATGTACCCTGGTTGCAGGCGCATCCCCAGTAGGGGGTGTGCAAGAGGCAGCTGATCGATGATTCTCTCTCATCGATGTTTCTAACTCTCTATTCCTCTCTCTTCCTCTCTGTAAAAAATCAATAAAATAAATATATTTTTTTTTAAATCCTGTGAACTGTCCTTAACTGTGAAAAATTTCAAAGGCTGACCCTTAAGAACAAATATGAAAGGCACTGGCCAAATAGCTCAGTTAGTTAGAGCATCGTCCCATAAGCAAAGGTTTTAGATTTGAACTCCAAACCTGGTTACTGGACTTTTGCACTTATTATGACCCAAACTAAGCAGATCCCAGCAAACTCATACAAGGGCACACATAAGAAACAATCAATGAATGCATAAATAAGTGAAACACCAAATAAATGTTTCTCTCCCTTAGAATCAATTTTTTTTAATATGAAAATACAAAAGTCAGTTACTAACTAGCCAACCCTTCAAATCTTTTCTTCTCCCCTAGTCTGTGAAATTCACACCATTAGTCATAAATTAAAACTCCCTCTTTGCCAGAAATATAATGTAAAACTGGATATACGGCATACAAGCTCTTTCCCTAAACAAAAAATGGATATGACTGGTGCAGATGATATTGGATGCCAATCCAATAACCAGTCTCTTTTTTACCCCATAACATAGGCCAGATTTTGTTACTGTTTGAGGTACACTAATTTTTCACTGATTAAAATATAAGCTTTATCTTAGTGATAATGATAAATTGGTATGAAAAAGACAGGATGCTTTTAAATATATAAGATTAGAAATATTTTTATAAATATGGTTCCTGGAATAGAGAGAAAATAAATTCTAGAAACATAAAATTAGGTAAATCATGATCAATTCCAATTATACAAAACAATTATACCTATTTTTGAAGGAAATAATGTCTCATCATCCAACTGGTCCTGAACCCAAGTCATCAAATAATCAATATATTTTGGTGCGGAGCACTTAATAGGCTTCTTTATGTTTGTTCCATCTGCCCAATGATACTCATATCTGTATTAGAAAGATTTAAAAGCAAACAATATTAGTATATACCCATACACAGTATATATATTTTTATGTGACACATGTATGTGCATCATGAATGAATACAGGACATATTTTAAACAATATGTTCCTTCAAATAAAGATTTTTGAATTTAGCATTCATTTATTCATCTACTTATTACTGATTTTAGAGAAAGAGAAGAGGGAGAGAGAGAGAAATATCGATTTGTAGTTCCACTTATTTATGCACTCAGTGGTTGATTCTTATATGTGTCCTGACCAGGAATTGAACCCGAAACCTTGGCATATATCAGGACGACACCTTACCAGGGCCATATTTGGCATTTTAATTTAATGTTTTCAAATGGTTACTGTACTCTTTTGCACTTATTATGACCCAAACTAAGCAGATCTCAGTAAGCTCATTTTTTGTGTGTTTCAATGCTTTCCTCCCATGTTTTAATTTTATTATACTACTTTCTTTCATATATAGAACTTAAATTTTAGAATCATACATTGTCATAGTACAAAACCTAGCTTACTTCCTTCCCACTTCTATGATGACCATCCTTAATGTTTTTATGACTATTTTCTTTCTTTTTTTAAATATGTATTTTATTGGTTTTGTACAGAGAGAAAGGGAGAGGGAAACATCGTTGAGAGAGAAACATCGATGAACTGCTTCCTGCACACCTCCCATCAGGGATGTGGCCTGCAACCAAGGTACATGCCCTTGACTAGAATTGAACCTGGAACCTTTCAGTCCGCAGGACAATGCTCCATCCACTGAGCCAAACCAGTTTTGGCTATGGCTATTTTGTTCAAAAATATTTTTCCTTATGCAGTACAATTCTTTACAACTTGGGATTTTTAACTTAGGGTTAAGGATAGAGAAAGGGAATGAGAGAGGGAGGGAAGGAGGGAGGGAGGGAGGAAGGGAGGTCATTTTTCATTTCTGTAGTATCTTTATCGAGATCCTTTGCCTTTTTTTTATTTTTTATTGATTTTGTACAGAGAGGAAGGGAGAGAGTTAGAAACATCGATGGGAGAGTCATTGATCAGCTGCCTCTTGCATACCCACTACTGGGGATATGCCTGTAACCAAGGTGCATGCCCTTGACCGGAATCGAACTTAGGACCCTTCAGTCCCCAAGCCGATGCTCTATCCATTGAGCCAAACCAGTTTCGGCTCCTTTGCCTTTTTTTATATATTGATTTCAGACAGGAAGGGGGGGGGGGGGGGACAGAGAGGGAGGAGGGAGGGAGGGAGAGGGGAGAGGGGAGAAGGGAGAAGGGAGAGGGGAAAGGAGGGGAGAGGAGAGGGGAGAAGAGGAAAGAGGGGAGAGGGGAAAGGGGAGAGGGGAGAGGGGAGAAGGAGAGAGAAACATCAATGATGAGAATCATTGGTCAGCTGCCTCCTGCACACTCCCTACTAGGGATCGAGCAGCAATCGGGCATGTGACCTTGACTAGAATTGAATGCAGGATCCTTTAGTCCACAGGCCAAGGCTCTATCCACTGAGCAAAATTGGCTAGAGCACCTCTTACTTTTAAATAATTAGGTACATTGTTCCTATACCACCTAGTTAAATAAAATTTCTGTGGGGAAATGATCAGAGCTGTTTTCTAAGTGGCAGTAATTCTGCCTAATTCACAGAAATGAGATATTGGTGTAATATTAGAAAACCTCCCAATAAAATGTTAGTTAATTGCAAAGAGGAAGAAAATGACTAATTTGAGGCAAAAAAAAACCTTGCAGACACTAACATGATAAGGTAATTAGAATAATTAGGCCTTTTAAGAGATTACAGTCAGGCCTACTATATTCATTCTTTTCTGCACAAAGACTAGCACAGTAAAGACTGAAGAACTATTCCAGATTGAAGACACCTAAAGAAATATGTCAAATAAATGCAATACATATTCATAGACAGGATCCTGGAGTAGAAATGAAAAATTGAGATATTATTGAGATAGCTGATGAAATGTAAATGATATCTATAACTGGGAGAAGTGATTTAGAGAACTTATATGCTAGTTGTACAGAAGAGTATTCCTGCTTTTAGAAAATACACAGTTAAACATGTAGGCATAAAGGAGTGTAATCAGAAGAAAATTAGTGTAATGACTACAGACATCGAGAGGAGTGATGAAGCATGCAATTTAATAATTGAAGAATCTGGATAAAAGATATGGGAGTTCTTTGTGATGTTCTGGCAACTTTACTATATACATTTGAAATTGTTTGAAGTTTCAGAGTCTGAAATTGCTTGAAAATTTTTTTTCAAAAAAATTACCGCAAGAAATAGTCAAAGCATATTATTTTGAACATGTTTTACCATGACAAAATTATCAATTTTTTTTAAAGGACTAGGTTCTGAGAAACACCTAAACTCATTTAGAGTCAATTTGAGGAAGAAAGTAGATCATTCTAGGTAATATTTTGTTCAATATATGAATTTGGTCAATAAATAAATTATTACTATCTTACCTAATAATAGAGAAACATGTAAATTGACTGTACCTTCGCTATGCCCAGAGTATGCAAATTAACCTAACAAAGATGGCGGTTAATTTGCATACATACCTGGGTCCAGGGAACCTCCTCGGACCTGGGTGCCCCAGCTTGTTCCCAGCTGGCCATCAGTCAGAGGCTTTATGCTTGGGAAGAGGCAGAGCCTGCGACTGGAGGGGCAGGGGTCCCCTTTCCAAGCCTAAAGCCTGGGGTGGAGGCTTTAGGCTTGGGAAGGGGCTGAGCCTGCAATTGGCGGTTCCAGGCGGGACACACACACACACACACACACACACACACACACTGCTTCCCAAGGCAAAAGCCTGGGGCAGGGGCTTTAGGCTTAGGAAGGGGCTGAGCCTGAGATCAGAGGAAAGGGGAGCATATCAATGGAAACATCCTCAGGTGAGGATAAAAAGAAAAATAAAGAAAGAAATGTCATATCCTATGAAAGACACATCTTGAAAATGCTTAAAGTAAGTTGTCATTTTTTCATGGTGAAGGGACTGGAGTCCGTGTTGATGAAAATACCTGGCTGCAGCAGCAGGGTAATGGGGCTGGTGCCTTCCCCTGATCAGCCTGATCGCCTCAAGCAAAGGGAGGCCAGACTGCGGTTTAGGTCCACCCCCAATGATCCAATGAGGATCGGGCTTAAGCTATCCATAGGACATCCCCTGAGCGCTCCCACTATGTGAGAGGGGGAAGGCTGGGCTGAGGGACCCCATCCCAGTGCACTAATTTCGTGCACCAGGTCCCTAGTGCAGTAATAAAACTGAATCTCTTGGGTAGCTAGTGACACTATAATTTAAAAGTTAGCAAAAATATTCTGAGCAATGAAAACATTAGCACAACAAGTGATTAACAATCTAAGGTTACTACTGATAATGATAATATTTCTATACACTAGCAAGTTTGGACACCTTGTTTTATTTTGTTTTGATATTTACACTTTGTTTATAATTGGGGGGAGAGAACATACTTTATAAAAAATCAGCACTAAAAATAAAACCTTTCTATATATAGTTTATAAATATCAATTCATATTCTTATTAGAAAATAATACAATGTAGCAATTAAGGGTATATGCACACTAGAGTCAAGAGTCCTGGATGACAGAGACCTGGTTCTGTTTCTGAATAACAGGACCCTTGGACATTTTACTTACCTTTTCTCAGACTCAATTTATTTTCCTGTAAAATGAGGATAATGATCGTTTTCTTACTTTATAGGTTTGCAGTATAAAGGCCTTGCTTTTAGTTAGTACTAAATAAATGGTAGCTGACATTGTTATTATCAGCTATCTTTGTATATAAAAACCTAAACGAATGGCTGACTGGCCAACTGGCCAGTAGCTATGATGCGCACTGACCTCCAGGGGCAGAGGCTCAATACAGGAGCTGCTAAGCTGCAGTGACTCGGCAGCTGTGGTTCTCGGGTGATGTACCTGGAATCAGAGCAGAGGAAGCCCAATTCTGGGTGCATCACCCAAGAACTGCCCTCTTGCATCGAAATCCAGGACTCCTTGGGGGGATCTCAGAAAGCCAGTTTCGGCCCGATCCCCAGGGGCCAGGCTGAGGTATCCCACCAGTGCAAGAATCCATGCACCAGGTCTCTAGTAGTCAAAATAAAAGCAAGTTTCAAAAAATTATTTATCAAAGCAACATTTATTGAGTGGTAACTAGATGGCAGGCACAACTGGTTTGGCTCAGTGGATACAGCATCAGCCTGCGGACTGAAGGGTCCTAGGTTCAATTCCAGTCAAGGGCATGTAACTTGGTTGCAAACACATCCCCAGTAGGGAGTGTGCAGGAGGCAGCTGATGTTTCTTCTCATAGATGTTTCTAACTCTCTCTCCCTCCCCCTTCCTCTCTGTAAAAAATCAATAAAGTATATTAAAAATAAATAAATAAAAATAAACGTTGACTCGCACATATGTGATACATATAAAGCTCCCATCGAATTTCTTAATAGTGTTACTTCTCCAGGAATGCCATGTCATAAATTAAAACTGAAAGTAGGTTCAATCATCATGCTACTGAGTAAATAGGGTCTTTGTTACGGTACTAGATTATCAAAAGATTTCGAACATAATCGAAGCTGAAGTATTAACGGAAGGAAAGGTTGTTCTGATTCCAAGAATTGATTTGTCACCATCTGAAACTGGCCTCCCATTTAAATTAATTTGAAGACAGTTTCCTATGATGCCAGCATTTGCAATGACTATTAATAAGTAACAAGGACAAACTCTAGACAGAGTAGAAATATTCCTACCTGAACCAGTTTTCAGATATAGTCAGTTACATGTTGCTTTCTCTCGAGTTTGAAGAGCTTGTGACGTTAAAGTGAAAGCTGTAAATACTTCATCACAAGGGAAATTAGTCAAGCACTCTGAAAGTGTTTTTACTCTTAATATGTCATACAGGGAGATATTAGAATATATTTAGTCAACTTATCAGTCATTGTTTTTATTAATGTTGTTTTCACATCATGTTTTTGTTGTTTTTATAACATGTTTTATATCAGGTCTTTGTTGTTATATCACATTGTTATTGTTTATTAATCAATTTATATATTATTTTCATAGATTTTACTAATTTTCTTTCATCTCTGACACTTCTATTATAAAGGTGAATGGCGATATTAAAATATTTATTCTAATTAATTTTCTTTTAATGTGGGTGAATCCGTGCACCAGGCCACTAGTATAATCATAATGTAACAAAGAAATAAAATTGTAATGACAAAAAGGTTAAATAGGAAGGTCACATTTAGTACTTTGAAATCAGAAGGTTTCATGGAGAAGGAATTACCTGTATGGGCCTTGAAGATGGGTAAGATTTTTGGAAATGTTAGCAGAAGATAAGAGAGAGATGAAAAGCAAAATATCCAAAAGAAGAACAGAATGAACAAGTTTTCAGAGAATAACCAGTAGAGGGAATAGCAAGCAAGGCATCTTCTGTAATCTTGTCTGGATAGACCAAAGGAAATGTGTAAGTTAACAGAAGAAAGGCAAAATGAAGGGCAATATGAGAAGGGTCATAAAGTTACTGAACTTACTATATTACTCAGCGTTAAGCCAGCGAAGGGGATGCTAAGCACAGAAATTAACTATCTTATCTATGAATTATAAAATTAAGTAAAAATGAGAACTGATCATGAACTATGTCTTACTTTGGGCCAGCTGACATCACTGGACAACTTTCCTCTGTACAGAAATCTGTGATTGTTCCATAAAGCATGTTGATCTGATTGAAAAAATCCACAGCTGCAAAGCAAGTATCATTTATAAGTAAAGTATTTAATTATACTAAGCAGAGCCAAGATTTATCAGTGTTCTTTCTAAACACATAAAGATTTCCTAGCTTTTGTTACTGATTTCTAGCTAAAATCTACTATGGTCAAAAACTGTGTGTTTTATCATTTTAATCATTTCAATTTTTTTAAATACACATATGTGTAATCTGAGGTTCTTAAGCCACATGTCCCTCAGGTCAAGTCTATTAAAAATGGCTTACATTTTTCTAATTCCCTGTTGATTTTTTTCCCTTCATCTATATATAGATAGATAGATAGATAGATAGATAGATAGATAGATAGATAGATAGATAATATGCTAATTGGTCCTAATGGTGTCCCAATCACGACCCGTCAAGAAGTGGGTGGGGTTATGGAGCCATGGGGAATTGATCCTAATGGTGATCCATCACAACCCCCTCTGCTGGCCTCTTGCCCCCAACTGCCCCTCACCCCCAACCCCACCCCCCGCCAGCCTGGTCACCCCATGCAGCCTGCTTGTTCAGTCATTTGATCATCCCTCACTAACCCCCTGCCAACCTGGACGTAGGCAGCCATCTTATAAGGGCAAGAGGGTCAATTTGCATATTACCTCTTTATTATATAGGAAGATACTACTTGTATGCAACTGCTGAAACAGTAACATTTTTAGACACCTCAGTAATAAAATCCTTTAAGTTTCTAAAAGTTATTAGTGGGTGTCTGCTCAATTTATAAATACAATGATATATTTCAATTATAATAACATCACATATTACAAGAAAAATATTGCTTTTCCCTTAATCAAAGCTTGACATATAGGGTATGTTTTCAATTAAATTTCATTTTATTTGCTAGATTCACATAAATTACTCCAATTACTAAATTCTAATAGTTTCTTCACTAATACTGAAAAACCCTAAATATTAAAAGTACCACTTTTATTCCCCAACTTTCTCTGGCTTAATTCCCAAGAATATATTTACTTTTTACTTATATGTTTTTCTTCCTTGGTGCTAAGACTATCTCATAAATATATTTTATTAATTTCATGAATCACTAGTGACGTCTTTAAGAAAAAAAAATAGCATTAACTTAAAATAACTGAGTATGTGCTACTGAAACAGGTAATTTAGCAGAGTGCTTAAAGTGCAGATTCTAAAATTCTTTAGCTCTATAGTAGAACCCAGGGTCTGCCACTTAATAGCTGCATGACCTAGGCAGGTTCCTAATCTTTCTATCTTTGCTTCCTTATCTGTCTTAAATTGGAATAATAATAGTACTTACATCATGAGGTTCCAAATATGAATAAAATAATTCATGTAGATGTGATAGCAGAGTGCCAGAAATATAATTAGTGTTTCATAAATATTAAGTGCTGTGATTATCGTTTTATCCACTAAAGATGGTAAATCTATGCTTTGTGTGTCATTATAACAGGAGACTAGAATTTCAGAAAACTCTATATTCAGAAATAAAATACTGGTAAAATAAAGGCTAACGTGCATTGAGCTATCATTATACTGTGATATTAGGTTGCTAACTAGATTCCAGAATAGACAGCACCCCAAAACTCACCTATAATGAGGCTAATATCCTAATTTAGAATCTTCTGGGAAACAGAAAGTAAGAATCTTCTACTTACTGTTCACTGCAACCCACTCATTGAGATCTTCTCCCTCAGGAAGCATGACAGCCATCCGGAGATTGCCACTGCCAAGTGTGGCTTCTGCATGCTTTAAGAGTTCATACTGGTGAGAACCCTCTGGTATGTTCTTCTTTGGTTTAAATGTTTTAGAGGAGCGGCTACCACTACAAATACACAAGAACAAAAAAGGCACTTCAATACTTAAGGCATGACTTTCAACAGAGTCAACTACACTACATTACTGGATAAAATAACACAGAGGTAATCCTAAATGTCCACAAATAAAGAGCCCTAAGTTGTATTGGCCACATTAAATCCTGGCAATATAGTTGCTGTAACCAATGTGCTTGAGACCCAAAACTCCTACAAAATTTCTCTATATTCTCTATTGTAACTAGGAGAAAAACAATTTTTAGTTGTAGGGAGAAAACCCAAGATGGCGGCGTAGGTAAACAACTAATCTGCCGCCTCGCACAATTTCAAAACTACAACTAAAAGATAAAACGCTATCACCCAAAACCACAGGAAAGCTGGCTGAAAGAGAAAGGAGCACAAGTGCTGAAAAGCTAAAAAGCCTAGTTACGGAGGCACGCAAACTGGGCTGGTGGCGAGCGACTGGGCACAGCGTTTTTTCAACCCGAAGGGAAACAAGCTCCTGATCACTTTGAAATCCAGTTTCTAGGGTCACACAGGGGGACCAGATACCTATGGGGAGAAGCTGGTCTGCCAGCCAATGGGTCCGAAAGTGAGGGTGACTTTTTTGCAGAGGTGTGCGCAGTAATCATTGTTTACTGTGCTGGAACATAGGGATGCAGGGACTTGGAAACGTAGGGACTTGGAAACACAGAAAGGCAGACAGTTGACAGCAGCCATCACTGTTTGCCACGCCCCAGCCTAGTGACATCCTGAGGTCCCGCCCCACACATTCTACAAACCTGCCCAGGCTCCACACAGCTGTTTTTGCATATAAAAGGCCTGTATTGTGGTAGCTTAACAAAATAAACTGCAGCTCCAATTCCAAAACCGCCAAATCCCAAGCAAAGAGGAGAAAACTGTAGTTCTTGCAATAGCTCCTGCTGGGTGGCTTCAGGCAGTAGCTGAACTGCATCCCATTGGGAGATCCAGAAACTAGTGTATCTAGTGGTCAGTGTGAGACGACACCAGATTTCAACTACTCTCATAAGGGACACATTCAAGAGACAGACTCAGGGAGCACCAAAGCCCTACGGGAACAAGTCCTCCCCATAAACGTGTCTCCAGCACAGCAATTCTTCCGTTATAGACTCAGCGGGTCCTCACAGCCAATTGGCCTGGAGGTCAATTTCTCCCAGTGACACAAACAACAATCAAGACTTAACTACAACAAGGGTGTACACACAGTCCACAAAGGGATGTACCACGAGTGTCCACATCAGGCAACTGAGAGGCTGACCCATTAAACCATATAGGACACCCAGGCCCACAAACTTATCCTACCAATTCAGGGAAGCAGCAAAAATGCCGAGAAAAGGAAATATATCTCAAACGAAAGAAATGGAGAACAAAAGATTGGATATAGAGTTCAAAACCACGATTATAAGTTTTTTCAAGAATTTCCTAGAAAAGGCTGATAAATTTAACAAGACCTTCGAGGATATGAAAAAGGACCAACTGGAAATTAAACATACACTGACTAAAATAAAAAATATTATACAGAGACCCAACAGCAAACTAGAAGAACGCAAGAATCAAGTCAAAGATTTGGAATACAAAGAGGCAAAGGTCACTCTTCTGGAGAAGCAAGAAGAGAAGAGAATCAGAAAGTTGAAGATAGTATAAGAAGCCTCTGGGACAACTTCAAGTGTACCAAATCAGAATCATGAGGGTGCCAGAAGAAGAGAGAGAGCAAGACACTGAAAATGTATTTGAAGAAATGACAGAAAACTTCCCCCATCTGGTGAAAGAAATAGACTTACAAGTACAGGGAGCACACAGAACCCCAAACAAAAGGAATCCAAAGAGGACCACACCAAGACACGTCACAATTAAAATGCAAAGAGCAAAAGACAAAGAGAGAATCTTACAAGCAGCAAGAGAAAAACAGTTACCTACAAAGGAGTACCCATACGACAATCAGCTGATTTCTCAACAGAAACTATATAGGCCAGACGGGAGTGGCAAGAAATATTCAAAGTGATGGATAGCAAGAATCTACAACCAAGAGTACTCTATCCAGCAAAATTATCATTCAGAATTGAAGGGCAGATAAAGAGCTTCACAGATCAGAAAAAGCTAAAGGAGTGCATCACCACTAAACCAGTATTATATGAAATGCTAAAAGGTGTTCTTTAAAAAGAGGAAAAAGTAAAGATAAAAATTATGAACAAATACATACCTATCAACAAGTGAATCTAAAAGTCAAGTGAATTAAAAATCTGAGGAACAGAATAAACTTGTGAATATAATAGAATCAGGGGCATAGAATGAGAGGGGATTGATAATTCTCAAGAGGAAAGGGGTGTCTGAGTGGGGGGTATGGGAAGAGACTGGACAAAAATCATATACCTATGGATGAAGATGGGGGGGGGGGGGTGTTTAAGGGCATAGGGTGGGGTGAGGACCGGGTGGAGGGGAGCTATGGGGGGTTGGGGGGGGGGGGTGAAACAAATTTAATAATCTGAATAAGGATTTATTTTTAAAAGAAAGGAAATTTTAGTTGTAACTATCCAACTCTTCACAATACACTAATGATTCAAGAGTACAGGATGTTGCCGAAACCGGTTTGGCTCAGTGGATAGAGCGTTGGTCTGCGGACTGAAAGGTCCCAGGTTCAATTCCAGTCAAGGATATGTACATTGATTGCAGGCATATCCCCAGTAGGGGGTGTGCAGGAGGCAGCTGGTCAATGTTTCTCTCTCATCGATGTTTCTAGCTCTCAATCCATCTTTCTTCCTCTCTGTAAAAAATCAATAAAATATATATTTTTTAAATAATTTTTAAAAAAAGATTACAGGATGTAGCCCAGATGACATGGCACAGTAATTGAGCGTCTACCTCTGAACCCAGAGATCAGGGATCTTTTTTTCTCTTTTAATTTTTTTTTCCAGAAAGGAAGGGAGAGGGAGAGAGACAAAAACATCAATGATGAGAGAGGATCATTAATCAGCTGCTTCCTGCATGCCTCTGGAGATCAAACCCAGGCATGTGCTCTTGAACAGAATCAAACACAGGACCCTTCAGTCCGCAGTCCAACATCCTATCCACTGATGCAAAATACAATTTTACATCAATAAAACACAAAAATCCTAGAGCAAGAAGGAAAAGCTACAAGTTGTTCTACCCAATTATATATAGGTAGCATCAGGAATCTTAATCCATAATTCTAGGTATGTAGACAAGTAGCTAGACATTAATATCATTGGTTTGCTCAAATTTCATATTTATTTTTAAATGGATCAAATAAAATTAGTCTTAGAAATTATTTTAAGAATTTTTAAGAGATAGATTCTTTGGTTAATGCTGGCAAGTTCTTACTAAATTGTATTATAGCCTACTCATCATCTCTTCTCAATATTCCCTTTCTCTCTTCATATGAATAGGAACAGAAGGACATCAGCTAGACCTGCACTCAGGAGGGTCAGAGCTTCATATGTCCCTAATACCATCTACTTGTTGAACTACTCTGCTCTGAAATTTTAGGCTTCCAAATGTTTTCTTGATTGCTGTCCCACCCAAAATTGGTTTCCACAAAGCTAAGTAAATCTACCTCATAAGAGGTTATGCTTGGGTGGAAAGAAAAAATAAATCTGAGTTCAATTTTGTGAAGGCCAGCTTTGACACTTATCAGCTATGTTCAACTTTCCTTGGGCCTATTTTTTCTTTAACAGTGAAAGACTAATAAAAATAACAAAATATCACCACAACCTATATCATGGAACAACTGTAAAATAAGAAAATAATATGTGAAAAAAAGCTTTTAAAACTGTAAAAGGCTTTGCAAATGTTAATATTTTCATTATCTTTCCTTTTCCTGAACCAGAATGACTCATAATAAAAAGAAATTATAGTATAATGTCCAAAGCTTTCTTTCCATGTCCATTCCTTACAAAACCTTACTTTGGAAACAAATGCTTTTACACATCAAGTTCAAAACTGAATTTTTTTTTAAGTTTGCTTTAATTTTTGTTGCTATATATTTACCAGAATTCAGTGACCTCAGAATAATTGTGGGGCTAGATTAGAAATCAAGAAAACAAAGTTCTAGTCCTCATTTTGTTATTTTCTTCTTATATTACATAGGAATCCACAAATTGTCATCTGGGCTTCAATTTCTTTGTTTTTGAAAGTCTGAAAAATAACTTTTTACAAAAGGGTATAGTTCAGAGATGAGATCATATTTAGAAAGTGGTTTTAGTTCCCTAGGGACTTTCATCTCCCTTCTCTATTTCTCATTTCCATGTACATTCATACTTCCAAAATGCTTTCAAGTTCCCATATAATTTTCCTTTTCTGGACCTTCTGCTTTTTTTAGGCAGAATAAACCATTTTAATACTAACCATTTTAGTACTCTATATACTTTTAACAGTCATTTTTAAAATGATATTCAGCTTTTTCTTCAACTGTTACCTGAAACTTCTACCAGTATCCACCCTACCCTAAAGTACAATACTGCTCCTTATTCCTAAGTCAAAAGGCCAACTGACAGACCCCTCAAAAATCAAAAGCACAAATACCAAAGCATGTACACAAAAGTCCTCACCAAAGAATACAAGCTCCTACAGCAACAGTATGGCCAAATGCTTATGTATCACATTGCATTTTTAGACATTGATACAAATATGAAAAATCATTTTTGTTACAGAAAGTATGCTGGCCTTCCAATCATCCATCTAAGAAGAAATCTGTGTATCAGAAGAATCTCAGAAGAAATATTGTGTATCCTTCCAGAGACTATGTCTATACAAGCATAGGAATGCTTGTGCCTGTTTCTGTTTTTACTCAATTGTTGTATACTAAGAATATTAAATCGTGTTTTTCATGTAATATGCCCAGGAGATTGTTTTTAAGGTAGAAGTAGATATACTTTATTCTTTTTAAGGACTTAATAGTATAGATATATATTTTTTAATTAGTCACCTATTGATCAACATTTAGGTTGTTTCTAGTCATTTGTTACTATAAATG